TGAAGTCGATCAGATCCTGTAGAGAAGACGCTGATTGTGAAGGTGATCTTCAGTGTCAAACCGGTCTATGTTGCCCAAAGATAGCTACTTCGTACTTGTATGGCCGTTCGTCGAACGCTGGATGTCAGTACATGAATGAAGCCTGGGTACAACTGGCGCCTCATTGTTCTGAAGACAAACACTGCTTACGTGAGAGTTTCTGTTGTTCTACACCTAATTACGGCCAGAGATGCCTCAGTTCGGGAAAGAATCGTAGTTTATAAAGACGGTTTTTCCTGAGCGTGTTTCCAATTTTGTTAATATACTGCACTAACGTCTAAAGATTAAAATCCTTTCGTAGTTCCATATATTAGCCGTGAAACTCTCATGAACGTCAGATCCTGGAAGTTTGCTATCAAACTAACGACAATCAGTTAAACAGCTACAAAATTTAATAAACCATTTCACATAATTAATAGGCGATATTCAACTTATCTGAGTTCAAACCAACTTACTTAACTGAGCATCTCGTTTTCTTGAAAATTTTTAAATATTTGACAATTCCACAAACTGAATAAATCTGAGATCCGTTTTTATGCTGACAATGACAAGTAAATATCTTGGAATGCTGCAAAGTTTCATAGAAGCACACGAACGAGATTACAAATTATGTGTGCGTACAGATTTGATGTGCTGCGCTGTTTTTGAGTGAGCGAGCATGACTAGACATAGAAACCCTTATTAAGTGGCGCTTTGTAAACTCTCTGCTCCGTAAATCAGCCCAAATCTGCGCAACAGCAGGGACTGTCAAGCCTGAAGGATGCCAGATCTAGAAATGAATGCTACAATCAGACCCGTGTCTCCGCGGGTTGTGCTTTGGTCCGCAATGGGAGGGTCATCCTGGAGCAGAAGTCATTCAGAATCAAAGGCTCGTCGCTTCCGTCACCAAACCTCGTTGTAAAGCTCGGAGTCACCGGAAAGCTGGCGTCAAGCAGTTGCATCAACAACTCGTAAATGTCCACATTGCAGCGCTGCAACTCGCCAGCAATCTTTTGACGACACTCCTGAAAGCTCGGTCGATCGGCAGGCTCTGACAACCAGCACTGACACATGAGATGGTAACTAAAAAATGAAAATTCCAAGGAACATATAAAGAATGAGCTCTACATTACATTTCGTCAGGAGCGTTGACAGGTGAACGAAGTCGTTGGCCATTCTTCAAGGCGCATACGAACTCATAGTTTGCGTCTTGTTCCGGATAAGGCACTTCACCCATTGAAAATATTTCCCACAATACCACTCCGAATGACCACCTACAAAAACTGGTTTTCAAACAAAATTTAATCCAAAAAATAAAAATAACAAAATAGCCATAAAATTTTACTGCTGGAAACTGTTTTGTTTTCTGTAGCATTTTAATGTTGCGATTTTTTAACAGTATGTATTCTTAAAAATTACGCTTTAACTATGAAAGCCTACAGGAAAAATTTCTGGTCACAGTTTCTGTGAATCGTCAATGAAAGCATGGTGACCTCATTCTTTCATCGTACTGCATAGTGCCTAAATGGGAGGCTAACAAGGAAAATTGCTATACCATCGTTCATGTATCTCTGATCATAAAGACATTGACAGCTGCTCAAACTTGCTAAATGATGTTATAATTTCTTTTTAAAGAAAGATTAGCGATTTGTTGATGGTTCTTTGAACTAAAAGGATAGAATTTAGGAGACTGACTGAATCTTGATAAAATTTGTTTTACCTTTGTTTGTTCTTGCATACAACATAAGGGCAAACTACGAGCAAAATAAAAGATGAAAATTACACGTCAGATTTGACAGTAAAATCGCGGTACAGAATCGATTCGATGGCCATCCATTTGACCGGCAGTGCCGTATCCAGTTTATTCAGGTGGTACTTGTTTTCCTGCCTCGACAGACCAAAATCGCAAATCTTCACTACGTGGTTCTCAGTCAGCAGCACGTTTCTCAGAGCCAGATCCCGATGTATCAGCTAACATAAACAAGTGAAAATATGCAACGCCATAACAAAAGAGTACGTTTTTCGATGACAGGTATTCCATTCCATTTGCCACTTGATAGGCGAAGCACAGTAGATCTGATGTTGACATAAACGTCTTTTTATTAAAGTTTTGGGCCATCTCTTGGCTCCATGAAGGGTCCAATTCACCCTGAAAAGTTTGCAAGAATCATACACATCAATTACGAGGAAAGGTGGTGCAAAAGGTCATTACTGAGAGAGAAAGTTTCTTGTGCCATGGTTTTTCGTTGGCTAGCAAGTTGAACTGACGCCTAGCGCAGAGTCTGACCTGTGGCATTCGATTCTGATCTTAGTGAAATTTGAAAGCGATCTTCCACAAGCAGCAAAAAAGGGCATTGTTCAGGTATGGTTGCAATGGGACAGTGTAGAAAAGGAGAAAAGAGGACATTTTAACAACTGTCCGTAATGCTTAAGCTAAAACCGCAGTTCCTTGAAAATATCCAAACTGAGAAGTGCAATGAAGCAAGTAGATTGTGTCATGATGTGCTAACTTAAGCAAGTGCAAAGGTTTCTCTGATTTGCAAATTTCACCGAATTGCTGTGAACAGGTATGAACGGTATTGAAATCCGGTATGTACATAGCAAAAACAACAGCCTACAATGTCACTGCTTCAGTGAAGAAGTTAAAGTGGCAATGGGCAGGAAACGTTGCAAGAAGAACTGACCGTCATTGGACCAGCGAGATATTCGACTGAGTTCCAAGAGAGACTAAACGATTTGTAGGAAGATCTCAAGATCGATGGCAGGATAAGCTAAACGTTTTTTTGATCAGAATGGATGAAAATGACACAGCAGAAATTTATGGCAAAGTATTGGAGATGCCTTCATACAACAGTGAATCGCCAAAGGCTGACAATGATGAAATTAATATTGTAGGAATTCAGAGCAGGCACAGATTAACACTAGGTTTAGGGAGAAGAGTTCGTTTCGAATACCAAATGGTGACATTCACGAAATACCATTTAAGTAGTAAGTGGTTAATTTATTGAAAGTACCTGGTAGTGCGCCTGAAGCTGGCTTGCTGAAGGTAGAAAAGAGTTCGGTTTCAAGTATCCATCATTGGCCACAACTGATTGTTTTGTTTCTGGCTCAGCAGGAGAGTTTGGAAAGAGTACTTCGTTAACGAAAGTGCATGAGACTTTTCTGAGGAATTCATCCAAGGCACCTCTCTTGCAGTATTCAACGACGACATACAACTCTCCCTTCAGCATATGCTTTGTAATGGCGCCAATCAACGAAAGGACATTCACGTGACGACCAATGTATGCCATTACCTTCAATTCAGACAGCAGCGCCTTTTGGTGTTCGACATTCATTCCAACTGAAATTGAATTAACTTTACTTCTGATGACAATACAGACAGACGACGTCATTCTGTGTTCTGACGATAGATAGCAAGAGTATAGAATTTCGATCTGCCTTCTAAACGGAATCTGAGTAAACCTAATTTTGAATCCATATTTGTGGCAAACGAACTCTGTTCTTAGAAAGATTTCTTCTGAAGCATAATCAGGTCTGTCGTCCTCTGGTTAACAATGTCGTATTTCAAAACTAACGAAGGACGTTCGCCGTGCAAAAGTGACAAAGCCAGTACTTTGCTTCGTAGCGGCATGCGCTCCTACAGATGATCATCATCGTCCATGATGAAGCTGCTTAGCTAAATGTTTGTTAGTTGACTGTTAAGAGAGTTTTCAACGTCACAATGTTAGAACATGGATCATTTACTGTGCAAGATTATAAATTTTATTCTAAAAATAAAAAAATTCTAGAGTCAAAAGAATTGCATTTCACAGAACTAAAAGAACACAAAAAATGAAGCGGAAAACACTTCTGGCTGATTTCTTACTCTAAGTAGTTTCCCAAGTTTGATAACTGAAAAACTTCGTGATCCGAAAAGTGAAGCTGTTATGGATGATGAAGAAGATAACAGGAGAATATTCTAAGACAAAAAATGACAAAATGTTTAAACCTTAATAATGAAAGACAACACTTTTTAGCATATGATTTCCATGCAATCCATTTGTGTTCAGTGTAAATGTCTTTTGACCTAAGGTTTCGCCTGACTGCTAATTCAACTCCGTACAGTTGCACACGTTCTTAAAGAGGCGTTCGAAACATTTAATTTATCAAATTCCGGAATTTAGTTCCATATAAAGCCTTTAATTATAATGCAACCAGTTTTTCCGTACAGTTGCACACGTTCTTAAAGAGGCGTTCGAAACATTCAATTTATCAAATTCCGGAATTTAGTTCCATATAAAGCCTTTAATTATAATGCAACCAGTTTTTCACTTCCTAACAATGGTGCAGTAATTTACTCCATGGTTTAAAGTAACTGTACCTTTGGGGACTTTGACCGCAACGCAGAGCTGTTCATTTCCTTGATCGTCCAAGATGTAACCTTTCCACACGCGACCAAAGTGACCACTTCCAAGCTCCTCGACGAGTTTTAGATTTTCCTTTCGAATTTCGTAGCTGATATCATAACATAGATTCTCAGTTTGCTCATTAACGGGCACCTTTGGGTCAATGTCCGTTTTATTTTCTGTGGAATTCACCAGCTGATTATATAACTGTTTGAGCAACTTGACCTAAAATGATCACCAACGTTATGGACGTTCAAAATTACAGTTTCAACACTAAAAAATTTCACAAATAGAAATAAAGAATTTATTCAACCCAACCAATCGCATTTTGCATACACACGTTTAACTGGTGAGCGAACATGCAGGGCAAACTGAAACATCAACTGATTACTCTTTAATTTTGTTTCAAACCGCTGAAAGACAGTAAGAATAATTCTCATAATCATTTTTAAGTAATTACGTAGAGACAAAGACTTCATTAAAACGTAACTGAAAGTCTGAACAGCCAAAAGACAGTTTCAGAAAAACGACGACCAAACTGTAACTCAGCTCGCATATCGGTTGAAACACAACAAAATATGGACTATTGAAGCACGCAAAGAACTGATCGATTGCGTAAGAGGCAACCACCGCTGGTATGGCCCAAATCTAATGGGCTTGCTTTAAGGCCAGAGACCTTTTCCGGCGGTTCTTCTGCACCAGATGAATGGTTTCGAACCATATACCTCCTGAATCATGAATCATTCAATTTATCTATGAAACTCACTGCACTGCTTGGTTTATACTGAGACCGTCTGCACCAGTTGAATGGTTTCGAACCACATACCTCACTGCTCAGAACCATTCAGCTGTTGCAGACGGTCTCAGTATCAACCAAACAGTGCAGTGAGTTTCATAGATAAGTTGAACGATTCATGATTCAGGGCACCAAATACTGTACATGAAACAACACTTCATTTCCGACCGTAGCATCATCAGGGCAACATTAAGCACAGGTAACTGCTTGAAAGCACTAAAGCCCAACATGCGAACAATACTTTACACTCAAAATGTTGCTAAACTGAACGGCCAGAATGCTAACCAACAAACAGTGCGAAGTTCCTAATAAAACAATCGGATCATTGTTGCGTAAATACGATTCACTGAATCAGTTTTGTGATCGTTATCCAGATTTCACTAATAGCCACAGAAGATGTGTATTCATGGCACATGCGGTTTATCACTGCCGATATACGCAAGGATTCCTTTCTCAGCGGACCTAATCTAGACTGGTCTTTGTCTATAACAGACTCGTTGATTTGACTGAAAGAACGCAATTCAGTAATTGCATGTCGAGCAATACCGGAATTGTCAGCCTGTCCAAGGCGGACCGCAAAAGTCCAGTCTCTGCACTGAACTTTGTATACCACATCTGACACATCTTCAGATTTATTAATGGACAGGTACTTTTAAATAAAATGTTGCGCAATGTTCTGCCAAACTTTTAGTAGACCTTCAATCCACGTCATTAAGGTAACTCGTTATATGATAAGATACCTGGGGTAGAACGGTAAAATTACATTGGTACACATGAACTATCCATCTTTAAATTTGAGTGTAAAAGGGGCAAACGTTTTTCGTCAAGGATCCTCCTTCGGCAACTGTTCTTTATACTAACACCTTGGGTATAAACGCAGACATCAAACATCTTCTAGCAGGCGCTAACTAAATTTTGAGTTCATACTCCAGGTATGTCATATTAATGTTGCAGTTTTTTAACTGATTTTAAACCTTTATTAATAAGGCAGAGGTTTCAATAACTTCAACGAAATCGTTGCATGCACTAACCCTTGCCGTCACTTGTTGTTCTAGTGATGTAGGAGTACTTCTGCTTTTTAATCCAAACATGAATAGTGAAAAAGTAAGTAGAGTAGTTTGACATTCATGCACAAATTCAGCAAGTAACAATAGACTTTTGAAAAGTATTTTTCAAAACAATACTCAACACTTAGAGGTCCATGGAGACAGCTGAACAATCAACATACAGATAGTGTTTAATGAATACGTGCAAATTTCGACTTAATATAACGCAGAGTGAATTGAATATGATTCCACTAAGTTGACAGAATTCTTCTACTATTTTCTTTCATTTTTCAGGTTCACAGCTCGATAGATCTCTGTGCAGAAGGTAAAAGAAATGAATCATCATATTTTCTTTAAAAATAGATATGAACAATTGTCTCTAGTCCTTTTGCAGGGTGTGCTTTGATTGATCCTATTTCTAGAGAAAGTTTTATTCAAGATATGATTAGATCTGTCAATTGATAAAAGTGTCGCATTAACCAATGCATTATACTTCATGAGAGATGTCCATGGCTGTTGCAAATAGCCATAGACAATATTGTCAGCTGTCTTCAATCTTGTACGCTATAGAATACTTAGTCGCTGCTTGCTTTTCAAGACACTGACGGTAGTTTGCCCTACGAACAGCTATTACGTAGAAGCGCAAGGAACCAACTAAAGCTACGTGATGCGCAAAACCATGAAAGTGCTACTTCTACAGCGTGGCGATTGTTCAACGACCATCGCAGAGCTACCTGACTCATTGCTTTGAGCAACAGAACAAGTACCACTTTCATTTGCTGAAGGCTAAAAGTTTCATATACTACTAGTGCAAATATATTGGTGACTAACTGTAATTCTCTAATAAAATGCTTGTGCTGAAGATGTTTGCGAAATCTTTCCCGAAGTTACTAAGCATCGTTTTTCGCACTATGCAAGAATGCATCTTATGTATGCTCAAATTTATGTCTGCTATTCATTTCTGACCGTCGATCCGAAGTCTACCTAGTCTCCCTAAGCAAAGAGAGCAAGACATCCGTAAAACACGCACAAACACGTGATTGGATGAATTTGCTGCATTCTTCTCAAAATACTCATTATGGGGAAGTTTATGACGAACTTGCTTTGATGTTGATGTGTACTTTAAGTCTTAAGCATGAGAAAAGTTTCGAAAGAAACGACGGCATCCAATCAGAATTAGGAAATTACTTGAAATTCATTTTTTGCGTCAAGAGCTCCGTTAAAACAATTAAGCAGTTAAGCATTCAGTTGTAAAATTAAAAATAAGGTTGGATTTATAAATATTAAGTTACAAATTTAATTTTTCAAACTAACTTACTGGCAAACAACAACAGAAATTTCATTTCTTACCCGCCTGCTGTCACGACGCCTCATTTCGACTACCATACAAATTAGAGCGACGATAAATACGCCAAGTACGGCAAGGCAAATCGTAAGAATCTTCTTGTCACTGTCTGAAACAGTGCCACTGGTTAGCCCTAAGACGGTGAGAGTGAAATTTCTGGTGGATGTGCCGACAAGGTTCTCGGCTACGCACAAATATAACCCAGCATCATCACCAATGACTCTGGAGATAGTCAGTTTGTGCGAGGTCAGGGAAATACCGTGTCTGGCAGACTGAGTCATCAGAACTCCGTTTTTGAACCAAGTAATTGACGGTTTAGGCACACCGTCAGCGATGCACACAATTTCGAATGAGTCACGGAAAGTTGCAATCAGCGAATGATTGGAAGTGAGCTCTGAAAACGACGGTGCCACCGTTTGAACTACATCCAAACGACGGGACTTACAAACGGTCTGATTTGTATCTACTACACGAACACAACACCGATAAATACCAGAATCAGCATGATTGACAGGGCTGAAGATCAAGTCAGCATGTCGTGACCATTCGGTAGTGCTGGTAAAGATCTTTTCATCCGGAATAGGGATCCATGTGATATTCATGCGATTAGAAATGGTGTTGTTTCTGTTCTCTTTGGACCATGCCGGACTGCGGTAAAACCATTTTTGAAACCTGCAGCTGATTTTAATTTGCTGGCTGTCATATACTGGATCCGTCGAATTTTGAGCCTCAGCTACAATGCCGAATCCCAACAGTTTTTCTGCATCTTCGATATCGCATGGCACTAAGCTAATTGTTCTGCCTTCCAATGAATCAGGGTCTTCTGCTGGCTGCAACGGTTTCAAGGCACACTTATAAGTTTTCACCGTTGTGGTTAATTCAGTCACAAAAGCTAAACTCTGAAATGTGCCATTGAGGATCTCCACTTTAATACCTAAAAGAGGCTAGGTAAAAATCAAAATTGAGAAGATTTAATTTTTATCAATACTTCAAGATGACGACATACCCTGCGCTGCATCATTTCAAACTTAACTTTAAAATCGTTCCTCAACAGAACGTTAAACGTAGCAGTGGTATCGTCTACAACGTAAACTCTTCATACGCGTTCTCTGAGTTGTATTTTCACTTTTTAAAGGCACATTGTTCATAAACTAATTACACAAGGAAGATAAATCAGATCTGTCACGTCTACTTAACTACAGGCAAAATTTGCATGATTTGCAAAAGCGTAGAACTTCGATGCAATCTTGGTAAAAAGATTCATTCTGATCTACATTAGGAAACATTTTTTATGTGCAGAAACAATTTTGGTTCAAATTCTTCTAAGAAAGAGCGTTTGGAACTTAAACATCTTGAAACATGTCCTGAAGTTCAAACCAGATGAGACAACTTCTGAATAGAAATGCATCATAAGTTAATCATGCTGAATCGAACGTTAGTTTGCATCATAGTTCTAAACCGACTTTTGTAGAAACTCACTCTGACCTGCACTAAAGTGACAGATAACATCATCAGAAAAATCTTGAGACCCAGCAATGACGATTTCATGCGCATGCAAAATGGAACCGAACTGCAAGAAAAACTAATCTAGAAAGCTAATGAAGCAAACTTTCTATTTCGGTCTGACTGAATAAAGCGTCATGTAGCTGAGCAGAATTGTGATAATTAATAAAAATATATACCCTATTTATAAGTCAGTGCAGTGGCCTTAATTACATGCTGTTTCAAATGTACGTTAGAAAAGCAAGAAAGCTTAAGCAACAGTACCTGAATCCGGCAGCGGAAACCATTGACAATTTTCTTTATCTAAGCATGGCTTCCAGTAGAGGTAGAGGTTAGGCAGAGGAATGCCTTCGCCGATGCAGTTCACGTGATAAGTGCGATTAAGCTGCAGGAATTGACTGGCAACTCTTTCAAGAATGTTGAATGACTTTGAGACAAAAATGTCAGTGATTTTTGGTGAAGCAAGTACGGTCAAATAAAACGTTTTATTGGCGACCAGTTGGGCAGCTGTAACGCTGCATATGTATTGTCCTGAATCGCTGACACGCAACCGATGAAGCTCCAGGGTGCTGCTTTGTCCATCGTCTTTCGATGGATTGCTAACTGGAAACAGCTGAACGCCATTTTCGACGGAGACCACTTTCTGGAACCACTGCACACTCAATTCATTCAACGGCCACGCTGTGAAGTTCGCCTGCAGTTGTAGCGAATCGTCCTCATGACATATCTTCGACTCTTCGCCGGTTTCATTAAATGTTACTTCACCTTTAACTGCTGAAAATACACCTGTCATTTAACTATATCTTTATACACAGCAATGGTTTGCAATCACCACAAAATTTCCATATTCAATTCATTAGAAAAAATAGAGCCATCACATAATCCTATGGCTCAGTACAAAATTAGAAAGATGTAAAATCGTTAAAGGTGTTATAACGACGATATTCATGGAGTTGTTTTAAAAGTGGTGAAGCCATCTCTATATCAAATATGGAAACAAATCAAAGGCTCAGCTGTAAATAAATGATACTCTGACGAACTATTTAAAGATATGTTTTTCAAATATCGTTCAAATTCTGCGTTTCACCTGTTGGCATACTAATTGGAAACCTCAGTATTACAATGAAATCGATCTACTTGAAGAAGACCACTAATGAATTTTTAGTTTGGCGGCGCAACTTATATAGAAATAGATGCGCACAAACACAATAACAAATAAATAACAGTTGAAATAAAGCAAGCCAACTATAGACTAAATAGTGAACAGTCGATAAAACAATGGTAACCCACCTGAGAAGAGTTGGCTTTATTCCACACGCTAATTATATACGACTGAAAATTGAGACAAACATTCTTTAGGATTAGTAATTAAAAACGAATTTCGTTTTGAAACTTCAAAAGTACTTAGGAATTTTAATACAATTTAACATTGGATACAAGCATTTTGATATTTTTATGTTGAGCAAGCTGACTTAGCAGCGAAGGCTGTCGTGAATGCTTCTAAAACATTCTCAGATTACTCACTATAACATCAGATTTTGGCACAGCACATAGAGTAAAGTTCGGACAATGCCCGCGGCCGACTTGCATTCTCTGCAGATGACCAGCAATGATAAGTCAGCTGAAGCCAAGTTGGAATCGTATTTCAGGTGTTATACGTATTTTTGATTGCAATCTTCTTATGGATTCAATCTATCATATATACACATATAACGCTCATAAATATTCAGCTCATTTCAATATAACTGCTAAAAAATTAGTTGTTTATCATTTAACGCGCAATTCCCTTTAGTCTAAACAACAGACAATTGTTTACTGATTGATATTCCAAGTTACTTACTGAAAAACAGGATAAAGGGATTCATTTAACGCAATGCAGAATAGTGATCTATCATCCTATAAATCCTAAATGAAACCGTGCTTTCCGCTGTTTTCAAGTAAGTCTAGAAATCCTTCAATTCTGCCAATTTTTAAATCAAAATATTTAAAAGGTTCTTTAAGTTCTAAAATGGATGATACTAAATCAAACATTAATTCAGCCTATGAAATTATCATTAAATTTAAAAGCAGCAAATTTTGCATATCCTAAAGTTGATTAGCTGCTAAGAGTGAACCAGTATGAGAATTTGTACCTGAGACGGTGATATCGACAAACGCGGTTTCACCATATTCAACGCCAATATTGGAACATGTACATTCGTAACGGCCAGAGTCTTCGAGGAGCAGGAACTTGAAATACAATGTCGTATTGTAAAGCGCATCTACGTGATTCATCTCCAGAATTCGTGACTAAACGAGACGGTGAAGAGTGTGCATGAATTCGTGTAGCGTTCTAAGATAGGCCCTACTTTGCTCTCTAGCTCGTTCATTGACGGAAACGACCATTTGCAAACTCCTTCGAAAGACTGGATAAATTTGTTCAGACAGCTGAGGGACATTGAACCGGAAACGTATGGGTGCATTGCACCGCTACGGTCGATCTCAGGCTCCGGCACTTGGGAGTCATCAACAACCAGGAACAAAAACCGCACTTCATCTTGCATACTGTCAAGCGTCGCAGTGCAGTAACTCAGGATTCCTGCAGAGGAATCCAGTGAATTTTTCTGCACGAAAAATCCTCGTCTAAACAGCAACAATTTTGCATTGCGAAATGCTGTACTATCAATCGTCATATTCTGCAAAGGGTTTATACCGCGCATAAATCTGTAATGCTGCACCATTCTGATTAGTCGAATTCGTTTAAGTAAAACTATCAAGCATAATACAGAAAAACGACTGAAATGAATATAAAATTTATTTTATTCTAGTAATGAAGCGACTAAAAGTGGCAATTTATGTCTGTGAGTATTATGAGCTCGAACAAAAATCATTGTGCGAATCTTTGAGAGAAGAATGGCCAGACATTTTCAAAACCATGCGTCGCAAGAAAAGAAACAGAAGCCGCAGAAACGCACTATTACGGCAAATGAAACACCACCACTACTTAAAGAGATTTAATGAAACAGCATAACTGAACAGTAGATGAAATTTGTCCACATTCATACCATGTAATCAAATGAACGAAATTAAGCATACCTTCTACAGTGATCAAGAAAAACATTTTCATATTGGATGTGCAAAGTCTGAAATATTAATTTCTGATTATTGTAAGGAGACTAAAGGAAATCTCGATATCGCCTTTTCCTGATCATTGGCTAATTTTCAAAACAAGTCTAGTCATTTCAAGTCTCAGGGACAGCTATTTTATGGGGCCTTTCTAACATTTCTGGTACACCGCCAAATAAATAAGTTTCGTGGTGTGGATTACCAAGCATAACAGTGGCAAAACTGCTATAGAATCGAGCCATCCATTTCGCGGTTTCCCCTAGGCCATCTTCTCTGCCGTTGTGCCATGATAGTGGGAATGGGTAGTTTCCTTCGTGGAGCCTTCCCCATATGTCCAAAGCGATAAATTGTGATTTCTCAATCTTGAGAAAAGGCGATTGATATTCTAGGTTGTTTCAAACTGGTATTTTCTGAACTCTGACTTCTGAATTTGACATTCATGATAACATTTTATCTTTTAATATCCAGAGCATTTATAACCATAATTGAAGGTGGGTACGTACGACGATTTGAAGACAGATGCTTCGCACTAGAACTCAGCTCCTTCTCCTGGTTTCAGCCACAACCGGCTTAACACCCACAGCACAGGGTATGTTCACTTTCATAATAATTATATAGCCGATTGTGGGCGTACCGTGATATCTTGACTGCAGTACTGCAAGATTAGCTTTGGAGCACAACATGTCATTGGAATAATCGTAGAATCACTGTGATTTTTCACCGTTTAACGAAAATGACTGCTCCATTACAAAAAGTAATTGTGTCAATGCGGATAGAGCTTTTAAATGTGATAGAGAAAAGGGATGATATAAGAAATACTGATCAATTTCGATAACAGGCTTGCATGGACTAAGACTCAATGATTTAAATCTAAACGCTGCCCTCGAAGAGAAATCTGGACTTTTCATTTGTGATTCCATTAACCGTGCTTCGCCATAAAATAGCCTCAGTAAAAATGTTTAGCTCATACTTTGGATCGTATGCTTCCATAGAAATTTTGACAGGCGTCGATGAATGAAATGATACTCGAGCGTTAGGATTTGTCACCAGACAACTGATGTAACCACCAAGCTTTCTTGACACGGGAATGAGGTTTGAATAGTTGTCATCTTCATCCACCCAGTGAAGAAATAGATGCTGTGGGTCCTTATCTAAAATAAATTCAGTTGAAGGCATATTGCAGCATATAATAAGGTTCATTTTATGGGACTTGAAATCGTCCCGTGAAAATTAAGATTTAGCGAACAAAATGACATCTTTCAAATAGAACATAAAATAAACACGAAAATTTTCTATGCCTTAAACATCTCTGTAGCGCGGTTTTTTTCATTCACTCATTTCATTGATGAGTCATCATCGTCCGTTCGAAAAGCAGACAATATGGCAAAAATATTTCATAATGAATTTTTATTGACAACTGATACCTGCAATGGTGGACACTGCCCTTCTAGAAAACAGAAATGTCTTAAAGACAAAAGAGTTCTGTCAACACCAGTATCAGAGCATGTTCAATCGACCACTTCATGGCTCATAACAGACTTTCACGACTACCTCAAAGATTCTGCAGCATGTACTTCATCGCAATTTGTTCGGCCACGTGATTCCACCCATAAATCTTTGCTTATTTTCAGCAACGAAGGCACTGAGGATGAATTATGGAGAGTTTAATTAAAAAAGCAAAATAGAAACAAAATGAATCTCATAAAATATTTTGCTTCCTATTCCTTTCTAAGTGTTTATGAAACTCAAAGAACATTTAATCATAAGAAAACAATTAATTCCGCATCAGCGATTTGAAATGGCACTGTCTCTTCTTTTTCTGACAAACAAAATAATCATTGGCTTTTTTAATCCATGAAATAAAATAAGACTATGTGCGATGAAAGCGAACAACTGGGGCTAGTCAGCTCTATGTTAATGACTGTTTCTAATAAACATAGAGTATGCATTGTTCACAGAATTACTAAGGGCCTCAAGATGCTAAATCTTTAAGTGCACTAAGTAATGATTATAGTTAAAGCATGAGATAATAAAACTTCAACGTCATGCCTAATCTTTGGCTCCAAATAATGCACCAACGTTTTTATTGGCATGTTGTCATCACTTCAAAAACCTTCCCATGTTTTTTACCTTGAAGTTAAAAGTTTGTTGCTTGAGCAAGGTCACGAAAAAATTTTTCTTTTAGCCCAGATAAGCGAAAGTAGTGGCAAATGAAATAATAAAAACAATAACGACAAAACTATAACAAGAAATTTTTTTTTAAAAAAGCTTACCAAACTATTAAAACCCACCATATCTAGCTCAATTAATGCATCCTGAAAGAACGCACTGTCTTTCATGTCAAGCGTTGTTTCGTAAATGTTGTTTAATAGCGTCATAAGTTTGAGCCCATAAATGAATTGCCGAGAGGGGAATTTAATACACTTTACAACTAGGCTTTAGATGAACCATGCTTCCAGGACTTTGACAGCATGCCAATTTGAGACGTCGTACAGTAGCCACTGCTAAAGGAATCAATCATCATGAAGATCGCAAAAATATGGCCGAATGGCTGACCATATTATCTTTTTGCGTTTAGCATTAATAGACCATTTTTATGCACTGGTTCAGTATAATTACCAACGCAAGCAAAAAAATTCGTTAGACTATTGCTGGCGTTTTGGTGGCTGAAGTGAAAAATAAAACAAAACTTTTAACACCTTGTTGAGAAGAGAATTAAACAAAAAATAAGGGCACAGGTCACCGCCAAGAAAAAAGCCGTGCCGACTTCGTTCGTTTATCTAGTTGATGACTTATATTTAATACACATCATGACACTATCTGCATTCTGCTTCCGTTTTGAGTAACAGGTCTCAAAATTTTATAAATGACCTGTGCAAACTGAGCAGGTAAACGAGATTTGAGAAATGTATAGACATAATGAAGAAGCATGAATTATTCATCGCCAAAATGTTTAAAATCCGCAAAAGCGGAGTAAACCCTTGGGAGATTTTAGCGATGAAGAACTTACAACTGTCATAAACAATTTATTTGATCTCTTTATAACTGAAACATGACAAGAAAAAATATCAAGGTCAACTTGCAGAAATCTAGCTGAAAGATACCTTGACGATGGTCTACCCTAAAATTTCATAATGAAACATGTGAAGCATCGTGCTGTCGATTCGTTAGACATAGAATGCATTTATCACAGGACTGAATCAGACCGCGAAACTATAACATGTCCAGTCAGATACCGATTTTTCGAATTGACCACAAGAATCATGACTTGATACACACTGTTATGAACAAATTACTTGCTTAAAAAATGCTTAGTCTGGTAATTGCATTGAATCATCAAATTTTTCACCGTATCAGGCGTAGCTTCATAAGTGTCTTGCGCAAGGTTGGAATCTTTGGCTAGAGCAAAGCACATGAGATAAAACTGAGGAAAGGATTCGAAAACTTTACAATCTAATTCGAAGTAAAAATAGGCGGCATGACCCTTCAGTATGACTTACCGGTGACAAAGAGGTAGACGCTGTTGAACCCAGCGAGATTAGTGGTATATTGCCCCTTTGATGCATTGTCGGAAACGCATCGATACCAGCCGGTGTCTGTCCAGCGCAGCTGCATGAGAGTCAGTTTGCTGTATCCCTCATCATCACGGTTGACAACGAAGAGACGTTTGCTTGAGACTGGGTCATCGTAGCCTTTGTAAATCTGCAAAAAAAGTTTTACTAAAGGCACAAGCAGCGAAGTGTCGCACTGACCGAATTGTCCGGCTTTACCCAGTGTAACTTTAGTCCAGCAGTCCCTGTGCACGACAACTCTAATTCGTCTCCTGCAGTCTTTAAAATGGTGCCATCTTCTGGCCTGTCGTTGATCAGAAGCTCTGCGGATGTTTTTCCCGGGGAAAGCTGCATAATGACAGTAGTCGTCCACAGAAGTAGAAATGAACCACCGATAGTCCTTTTTCGTTGGAAGTTCCCTCCTTCATCGGTTTTGAGGATGACCATGACTCGAGACTAGGTACTGTTGCACCGGCACAGAACCTAGATCAACAACACACCTACAAAAACAAACACAATGCAATCCAAACGCCCGGGTGACTGGTGCCACGCAAAACTGCTGCCAATGCACGAACGGTTTTTCAGTCCGTTGCAAGCAGCGATTTACGACACGTGTTAGTCGGTGAAATGGCAACCGAATCATGACTCAGCATTCCGTGAGTAATGGGTGTCAGAAGAGAAGGAAGTGGCCAGGTTGTTGGTGAGTAAGCGGATAGACACACAACTACATGCAGCAGTTACAAGCGGAGCAGTCAAGTCACTGAAGGCTCAGGTCCCCTGCTCGCCGCACTTCGCTGACGAATGCAATCCCAATCACAATGCCTCTCATTGCCGCTAGTGTGCGCTGCCGCTGCTCTGTTTGTACAACACAAAAAGCGCAGAAATTCCACTAAACTGTCAGATACGATCACTGACGACATACGTCACCATCTGGGAAAGTCGCTCTATACAAAAGCCAACCATGACTGACATTTCGTCTAGATATTTCGAAACCTCCGTTGTAAAAAGCAAAAAAGCAGTTCGCAAAGCCCTAGAGGACTATACTTTTGAGTACGTGTAGTGGTACTCAGTCAGTCACTCAGTCACTCAGTGAGTCACTCAGTCACTCAGTCAGTCACTCAGTCACTCAGTGAGTCACTCAGTCACTCAGTCAGTCACTCAATCAGTCAATCAGTCACTTAGCCACTCAGTCACTCACTCACTCACTCACTCACTCAGTCAATCAGTTAGTACTCGATTCCCTGAAGAGTTTCATCTTCCACTGAACATGGTGAAAATATAAGAATCATGACCACAATAAACATGTATTTGATTACGGCATTGTCAGTGTCTGATGAAACAACCTCGACAACGCTATTTAAGGTAATAGTGCAGTAGAACTAGAAAGTTCGCAGCCGAGTGTGACGTGACCTGCATGCGTGCTAACGTTTTTAATTCGATAAACCTCGTTCTTTCTCGTTCTTTTGCCCATTGCTATCTGCAGATTTAAGCGACCAAAGAAGGGAACAGACGATGAGGTTGACTTACCTCGGGATCGTGTTAGTTTGTGATAGAAAATGGAAAGAAAAGATCATCCGGACGTGAACTGGATGAACGCTGACTGGATAAGCAGAATGCTTCTACTTAAGTCATCGTCATATGAAAATTATTTTAAGTGGAGCAACAAGTCAACAGAGATATTCTGCTTAATCAGGTTGATAAATCACTCACCAACACCAAATATTCTGCCGACTTGATTTCTAATTCACCCTCAATAAGATTTCTGCTTCAAAATGCCTCGGGGGGGATGCAGGCTAAGGTTCCCTACAGCATAAGAGAATTGTACATGCGATGATGTCCTGATCCACAATCTTTACTAAGCTACGGTGAGAGGTTGCAACAGCTGATGTGCAGCCGAAGGCTTAACTTAAACCTGAAATCACCGTAGTGCCACTTCCAACAGTCCAGCCGAGATATGATCGATTCTGGAGGATGCCCTTCTATAATCTCATTCACGTAGAGGTTGGCGTGCAAGACTAATGTTTCGAACCACGTGTCGGAGCTATAAATGGTATGTTCTTTAAGCGCTATGGTAAGCGTAAAGGCTCGAGTGAAAACAATAGATCCGATAGTTGAGAGAAGTCGTTTTAAAACTCCATTTATGCTACGCAAATTATGACGATAAATTCAAACGGAGAATTACTTGTCTGCCGTATCCATCTGAGAAACATTTAAGTTGACGCATTTGTAGTACTGCTCAAACAGCGCAAAAAGATTTTTCCCGTCAACGATCATTTTAAGTTTAACGTACACAAAATTTACAAAAATTTGCATCTTCTTTTGAATAGTACCAAAACAGCGGAAATATCTTCATCGTGGTGCAATTTCTGTTAACCCTTAAAAAGTTTAATATTTCTTTCCATTTTTCTCAGAGCTGCTGAAAAACTGTCAGAATGTGGAAATGAGTGAAGGGGAGATAAGCAGTTGGACAACACTCAGGTTGTGCTTTCTGAAGTCATCAGTCTTAAGAGGAAAGAGAGCTTTAAACCATGCTAAGCCAATTCAGAGTGAAGCATTTGTGTAATAGCAGCCAATGTTAATTGTCCACACGAGACACTTCCGTCACTGGTGTTTGTATTGCTTCTAATTTTATGGCACTCTTTGAAAAGAGGAAGCTGCATTCACTCCAGAATCATTAGTTGAAGTTCCGGTCGAGACAGACGCACCGGTGAACTCATTCTCGCATAAAACCGTGCAGCTCTCAAAATAATCATTGACAAAACTGCATGACAGGCGTATGATGATTGCTTTGGATTAAGAATTTTTTTCCAGCTGAAAAAAATCGAATGCGCTGATGTACTGCCAGAAGGGAGTTAATTCGAACGAATACATTCTACCAAGGTTTGATTTGATTTGCTTGCATGTACTTGCCACATTCTGACTGTCGATTGTAAAACAGTGTTGAGTAAGTCGATGTGTACTATAAGGTTGGACCTCTCAATGAAAAACGAATCACTGAGTCAAAAAAAACAGTTTTCGCTAAGCTCGAAATACATTATACGTAAATAACTAACAAGTCAACAGTCAACAACTAACTGGTTACTTTTATGTTCTTGAAATTGTCTTTCTGATGCCCAGCATGGCTGATTCAGCTACAGATGTATAAAAGGATGTCTCATCACGTATTTGTCAACAAGCTGTGTCCTTGATGGAAGTTAGCTTGCTTCAAGTTGAGAGCGGTGGTTGCTGACTAAGAATATAATCACGAAATATACGGAAAGGAAGCGGTTTCAGACAAAATATTAGTCTGAACCTTTCGGATTTCAGTTGAATAACTAAAATCCCTATTTTCGTCAAGAAAGGTATGATGCCATGAATAGTTATGGTAAATTATCAGTTCTGTCAAGCTATGTCAGAATCATTCTTGGTTATGAATTAGTTCGATATGCCGCAGGGAGTCCTTTCCAGTGGAGGAGACAGTGAATCCTGCAGCGATTATGAACTCAGAAAGAGGTTTCTATCTGGATCAAAGGAGGTTGAAAAAGGCTATAGTTCCCAAAGATTGGCACCCGGAATGAACTGCGAATGAAAATCTCCAAAATTAGGCTTCTTACTAAGAATACCGTAATCGCAAGTGCAGGCTACCGCGTCGGCTTGCCATAAGCTTGGGTTAATTACTACTGAGATGGTCGAAAACGAGAGGATATCATCGAGATCATCGTGGCTGTGTGGTCAGACCTGCTCCTCGGCATCTACATCATCGAGGCGAAGAAGATTGAAACAGATGATCTCGGCTTGTGCGAAACCTGAAGTACCGCTAATCTTATCGTGCAATGATGACCGTACAGCAGTGATTAAATATTCGTCGGAAAAGTGTACGAAAATCGAGCCCAGACAGACGGTGTGTGATTCATCGTAGAGAAGGTAGCAGTACCTCTCGTAGTTAGCTGCAACCTCATGTCACCTTTTGTCGTCCTTCTAATTCTGTGGGTGAAGAGGAAAAGTCCCCTAAAGATGATCGACATTTGCAGCCCATCACAGCAGTCACATAATGAAGAGGTGGAGCAGTTCTAGAAGGAACTGGAAACCAAGGTGTCCAAGAAAGTTTTAATGTCTTAACAGGAAAGGAAGCAACCGAGACAGAGTCATTCATCGGCTGGCTAAGAAGTTGTGAGTGAAACAAACGCGGCTCTCCTTGTAATATTGGCTGAAAGTAGTGGCCTCTATAACATGAATACCACGTTTAAAAAGCCGAGCAACGGCAGCTGGCGTGGAAGAGTCCTAACGAACAACCCTCAACCACCTGACCAAGTGCTGACGGACATAAGGCGGGTCATAACAGATGTGCCTGTCATTGGAGAAAACATCGTCTGCACGGGCTCAGAGATTTCTGATTACTCTGTTGCACTGTCACAATGGATGTCACGAAAAAGGAGACCAGGTTAGAAAGGCTCAAGAACCACCAGCCACTGGATGAGTATTCGATCCTGATACTTTCGCAAACAAGCCAAACTGAATTGCAACAGACATCAACAGAGGCATCGTCCCGGCCATCCAATCGGGTAACAGTTTTGACGTGGAAACAACGCACCGTCAATGCGACAATGCAGCCATTGGCCAGAAGAGCCAGAATGAAGGCTAATGAGCAACAAGACGACAAGTACACTTCGCTGGGCAAGTAGCTACGGAAGAAAATTTGGCAAGATGATGACAAAGCTAAGAAAAGCTGCATTAAGTAGAATAGCTTGAATGCCACGAAAAAGAGCATCCTTCTAAAGTGCAGTTCAATAGCACTAAAGGTCAAATGTGGAACGAGAACTGCAAATCACTCTCACATACAGCGATTACCTCGACATGAGGTTCTACAATAGCCTCTACGACACTAAGATAAACGTAGAATGGAAGCTGCTGCGAGTTACCCCGGAAACGCTCCCAATGTCACCTGGGACGAAGCAGAGTTTTCAGCCAAAAATATCAAGAGTAGCAGACGTCCTGGCAGTATTTGCATAAAATCTAAACTTCTCAGGTCAGGAAGAATCACTGTGTTCCAAGCTGTTGCCGAACAATTTGATTATTACACTAAGAGGAAGGAGACATCAGAAGCATGGAAGAAACCTTCGACGATTCTTCTATTCCAGAAAGATGATGCCATAACTATAGACCAATAACTCTCCTGCCACAAGTCTACTAGAACTTTACCAAAATCACCCTCAACCGTGTCCGCGAAGACCTGGAATTTCTCGTAAGTAGAGAACAAGCCGGCTTTCGAACAGGGTTCTA